GGTCCCTGTTAGGGGCCAGCCCCCCACAAAATTTTAGAAATAAAAAGCTGTTTCTGCGAAAATTTTTCTTATATTCTGGGTTATTCGAAAAGTCTTGATTACAGTACGTCTGTGAACCGTCAATTAAGATGTTTCTTTTCTAGTAAAAATGTTGATCTATGCACTCTATTGTTAAATGAACATTCTCGTTCTGCAGTTATTCATTTCTATTCGTGACTCCACCGTTCATTTTCTATTCATGCCAGAAAATCTGTAATTTCTACCTTTTCTGTCGAAAAATCTAGCCATTCTATTTGTTTCTGTCAGAAAGTTCACTTGTTCTATTTGTAATTTCTGCCAGAAACTTTATTCGTTCTAGTTTTTACTTCTGCCAGAAAATCTAGCATTTCTGTTTGTAATTTCTGTCAGAAACTTTATTCGTTCTAGTTTTTGCTTCTGCCAGAAAGTAAACCACTGATGGTGGATATTCTGTATCTGTGTCTTTGATATGCAATCCCATGTTGCTGAAGTCATAGATATCTGCTATATTCACTATAATCACTTAGTTTCCGAATGTTAAATTTTATTAAAGATGGCGCCATAAAACTAGTTGTTCGTCAATAAATAACCAACAGGAAAATGAATCATGCTATATTAGTGAAAGAATGCATTATGGAATAATGATTCAGATTTTTTTGAACTGCAATGGCTATTTATAGACTAAACATACTGAGCTAGAAAGAAAAATATTAAAAAAATGATAATCCTAGAGAAACCGCAACGAAGTGGTGTTAACCGTTGGTTTTGTTGAAAACTGAGTAACATGGGATGTTATTTATATGTAACATCATTTCAGATTTTTTTTAATATGATTTCAAAAATAGTTCATACAACTAGTTGTACAATAAAGTGTCCTATTTGTGGAAAATCAATGCTTTTAAAAAACTGGAAAGATCATTGTCGCCAGTTTCATGCTATGTCACAAACAGCGATTGATTGCAAATATTAGGAGTTGAAAAGAGATATAGAGCGGTCAAAACTAAGTACAGTAACATTAGATGCAACAACAAATAGGGAAAAACCGAATTCAATGCCAATAAATACATTATTTTTCATGAAAAAGTTTGCATTAGTAAAATCAACGATTACCAATGAGAACACACAAACAGCTGCTGTTGATAATGAGATTAATCAATCTCAATTGATGGAAATTGATTCTGAAAATAGATATCTTGATACACCAATAAATGATATTGAACTTGAACCTTCATCAATTATATCTGATTCTTATCTAAGCTTCAATGAAAATGGTATGATATTCTATACTTTTTTTCAGTAAACAAAAATTAAAGGAATAAAATGTTTTCCAATATAGATATTTCTTGTTCAAATCATGAATCATCCAACGTAATTGTATCAACATCTTCAAGCAGTAACGTTTTGCTTCAGATTAATGAAATGACTAGAAATGAAAGTGGTATGAGAAAACTATGGAGCAGTATAATTATGCCACCATGTCTTGCATTCTTTTAGATGAAAATTCGAAAGATTCAAGCCAAGTACAACTTAGTGGTATTCAGATTCAATGTGAAACAATTGTAGCAGATAAAGAAAGCGAAGAGGATGAATCAGATAATAATTTAATTTCATCACCAACATCAACTCAAAATATTGCAAGGCTTACTTCAAGTCGTCCATCAATTATGTCAAAAAATATTGAGGGTGTAAAGTTTATTACTATATAGTAATGAAATGACCTTTATTGATATGCAACGAGAAAACCATCCTTTCATAAATTGGCACACTGACGATAAACAAAACCAAGTTAAACCAAGTCGACAATGGTTTTCGAAGAATTATCAATGGCTTCGGGCCGTATGCACCGATAATAGATAAGGATTAATATGTGTTGATTGTGCTGAATATGCAAAAGACAAAACTTTAATTGAAAGAAATAAAGGAGCTTTTGTAGTGAGACCTTATTGGAAACTGAAGCATAAGGGATTAGATGGTAGAGATTTATTTTTATAAAGGAATGATATTTTACTTGAAGGTTTTGCAGGTATAAAAAATCATAAAAATAGTGATTTACATCGGGCAAGTCGTGAAAGACGAATTGCTGCTAAAATCGTGGCAAACAATGGTAATATTATTGGCCAACTAAACTGTGTAAATTTAGAAAATCAAACAAAAAAGTATTTGAGTATTCTACTTCAAGTTTTCTGGTTTATCATTAAAGAAGAAATGGCTCTTACGAAGTTTAAACCTTTTATTGAATTATTGAAGAAAGTCGATTGTCCGGGTATTGTTGAATGGTTGAAGCTATCCAATATTAAACAAAGGTAAGACTTATAAATGTTAAAATGATGCATCCTTATCCTTAGTTTATGTCTTTGTGGCTAGATATTGGAGCCATGAGGCGACATCTGAATGGCTTATAAGTGTCAACAATTATATTAATCATCAACAAATATCTTCACTTAAACAAACAGCATTTATTAATTTAATTATTGATGAAACTACCGATATAACAGTTAAAAAAATGATTTACATTTGTTTACGATATGTAGAGAAAAATACTGGAGTGATCAAGGAAGAAATATTTAAATTAGGTCCTATTCGTGATGCAAGTGGTGAAGGTACTCTGATTTAACTTAATAATAAAATGTTGACATATTCTTTTATTTTGAGTAGGTATTTTCTATGTGGTGGAAGAGTTTGTTAATAATTTACAGAAACAGGCGGGAAAGGAACTTATTATCACTGCTCAAACCTATGATGAAGCAGCGTGCATGCGATTTCAAGCTCAAGGTCATATTAGAAGTCGGTTATCGGCGTGGGGTTTTTATATTTATTGTCGGTCGCATTTGCTCAATCTTGGTGTAAAAGATGCCATTGAATATTCATTTTATGATGCATTTGATACTATAAAATCAGCGTTGATCTATTTGAGTGATAGTCCATATAGAATAGAAATACTCTTTAACAGTCAAAAGGCTACTGGTTCAAGTAAAAATGGTAGTTTTCTGTGAAAATATTATAATTAATATTAATTATTTAATTTAACAGGACATAGTGTACCAAAACCGAGCGAGACAAGGTGGTCCTATTCATTTGAAATTGTGCGTTTTGCTTGTCAACACTATTCAGCAATAATCATGACTTTTACAAGAATATCTCAATCAAAAGGTGCTGGCTCATCTAATGGACGTCGTTATGTGATGGATTTAATGAAGCCACTAATTGTATTCCAAATACATCTGTTACGAGATGTTCTTCGTCCAGCTATGAAGTTTTTGAGACAAATTGAAAAACGTGGCTTATGTTTGGATGAATTTGCAGTGGATGTTGATGCAGCACGAGAAACAATATCACCAGCTATGAATAATTTCGACTTTATTTCTTATAGAACAACGTTAAGCAACATTAAAGAATATGCTCCGTTGGTCCAACTAACACCACATTCAACAAGGTTTCAACAACAATCTGTTAATATGGATTTTGATGAATGCGAATTAAAAACGATAGGTGATGATTTTGTTCAGAACGTTTTAAAGTCACTAGATGATCGTTTCAATAGTGAAGCAAAACAAATAATACAAAATTTATGTATATTTTCTTCTCCATCAAACTTTTCATCTGAAGAGTTAATTAGTAATCCATTAATACAGAAATATACATCTCCAATCACATACATACACAAGGGTGTTGATGGAAAAGTATACGAACGCACAGATCAGCCGTTACTCAATATTAAATTTCTAAAAGACGATGTTTACGCTTTCTTAAAAATTGTTGAAAATATCAGTTCAATTCCATCAATCTTATTGAGACTGGCAAAACTTGGTAGTGAACAATGTACAGAATGGTTTCGATTATACCAAATACTAGCGACATTTGCAGTAGATTCAAATGAAGCCGAACGAATGTTTAGCACATTACGACGAATAAAGTCCTGGTTGAGAAACCGATTAAGTGATACTACTGTCGAAATCTTATTAAAATTGTCTAACCTTGATATACAGCTAACTGATGATGGAATTGATTTCATTGTTCAAGATTTCATAAAAAATCCAGGATGTGCAAAATCACGAAATGTAACATTATTTTTTGAATCTGATGAATTGAAACAGAAAGATGATGAGTTTTGAAAAGCTTTTTGAAATATGACTTTTTATACATATTTTGTTTTTACTTATTTTAATAAAAATGAACTTAGGTCATCTAAGTTAGATGATGATATTATTAATCAAGAATGTGCTTTTTGACGTACACTGTCTGCCAAAAAAAAATATAGTTTCTGTCAAAATCTAGCCTCCCTCACTTCGAAAAGTAATCGGGAACCATGAGTACAAAATAAAACGATTCGTTTCTTATGCTGGATCATCCGTTACTACATTACAATTGAATCATCAAAAACTATGAAATGCTTAGAATTACATGAATGTTAACAAAAAGAATATCCTTTAGTCTAAGCCAAATTATTACTTAAAAAATTAATTTAACAAAATGAACACACTTACTCGATTTCGAAATCTTGATTTGTCTATTAAATGTTTATAATATTACAAGAGAAAATTAAACGTCAACAAAAGAACAAAATCTAAATAAAAAAAACACAGAATATTTTCAATATATGTGCAGGTCTTTATATGTTTCTGATACGATTTCTCTGTCAATATTTTTCCATGCCTAAAGAATGGAACAATAGAGATTGATTAACTCACACAGAATGATGGAAAAAACAATGACTCGTTGAAAATCGACCATTTGATCCATGGTCTAGTGCATTGATTGGCTTCGTATAATCCATTTGTTTCTGAGTTACACTTTGTAGATACATAGGCGTTTCGGATTTAGATTTTAATTTATTCTGATATAAAATACTCAAGCTAAAAAAACTGCAAAAGGATTTTGGGTGTATTAATAAAATACTCATATAGATGTCGCTAATTATAGAGCCATCTGTGGGCACTGTTTAAGGGACACAACCCTTTAAGGGAAAATATAAGCACCATTATAGAAGCACACATGTTTAATCTGATTGGTTATATGACTTGGAACCAAGCTTGGAACACATCTTGTTGTATTATATTACTAATAAAAATATGTCAATAATTGAAAAAAATAATTTAGTACAGAATTTTTTTATAAATTTAAACAGATGCAGATTGTCATCGAGATATTCGATTTTGCCAAAGTTTCGGAT